TTTCATTTAAATGTAAGGTAACTTAACAGCTTATTTATCAAGTTCTTTTTATAGGGGATCAATAAGCACATTTTAACCTATCCCATCTCCTCCCTTTTTCCTCCTCCAATGGATAAGGGTCTGGTGAATTGGGACCCAGTGGACATGACAGTACTGGCAGATGAGCAAATTGACGAACAGGGCTGCTCCTGGCGCTCAGGGGCCAAGGTGGAGAAGAAATACCTGACTCAGTGGTATCTGCGCGACACTGTGTTTTCACAGGTGGGTTCACAGCATGCCCTGGTTTGTGTTCTTTAACCCTTCTCCTGCATCTGGTGTTGATGCCATTTTCTCTCTTGTGCAGTGCTGTGGGATGCTACATTGTAAATGTTCCTAGTTCCAACATGTTACTTGTGAACAGGGGAATCAAATGCAGCTCATGGTATTATTTGTATGTAGGAAGTCTTTATGTTGGCCTGCGGCGAGACGTACAGTCAAATTTGCACTCACAGCCACCCTCCCTTGGGTTTTTTCTGTCATAATGACACTGTCCGTCAAGACTACCTGTTTAAGATGACCACTCTTCTCTTTTACAAGGGGTTGTCATCTTGGACAGATTTGTCTCTACTTGCAGCCATGAGGCTGATTTACATGTTAATGCATGCTGGAGAGGAAAGGGCAATCGTATCATTGGACCATTTGTTTTAAAACTATTGTTCATGTTGGTGCCAGTTTACTTTTTTTCTGTCAGTTCCAGGGAAATGTAAATACATGGTGAATGAAGTGAGATTCTTTTCTTTGACTTTGACGGCATGTTTTGAAAATGCATTCTTTTGCAGTATTTAAAATGGCAACTCCGGTGATTGTTAGCTGTTGTTACAAGATTCTTTTTGTGAAAAAGTGGATATGGTGAAAAAGTGGATGTGATTTTTTTTTCATCTAGTTGTATAATTGTGTGTTCAATAAACAAACAACATATTTATCGAGACTTGTATATCTTTACTTTGTATATCTCCAATTACATCAGAGAACTATAAACAGAAAAGTGGGAAAACATGGTAAAATATCAAGAGGCTAGCTCAGGATAGGGAAGTAAGGAAATGTGGAAGGTGTTTGTTCCTGGCCTTTACCTTGTTGCACAGTGAGAAAGGCAATGATGATGATGATGATGATAATGCAAATGACGATTTTGGTACCTGTTTCCCAAGATTTAAGCAAGAACTTATATTTTGCTTCTTTCAGTCTCTCCTAGAAGGTCTTGATGAGGTGGACCCCACCTTGTGGCGTGACATCATTGCTGTACAGAAGAACTGGATCTCTGACTGCACAGGACATCGAATTGACTTTGGCATTGAACTGGTAAATGGATACAGTGTGGTCTCCGCCTAAATGCACGCCATACAAAGGCACGCTCTGCTCAAACGCATGCTTTCATCATATGACAAGTTTTTTACTGTTTAATTTAGACATACAAACGCACGGTCACTTCTCCTAAATGCACGCTTCAATCCGTGAAACATGCCGACAGGCAAAGGTTGACAAGGGGAAATTTTTCACTTCAGCCTTCACAGCTTGCATAAGACAAGCCTAAACGAGACTGACCTTCACGCAAAATGAAGAGAGCGATGGGCAGAGTTTTCATGCCTAACTTTCCACGGACACATAGTAGGTCTAGGACTGGTCGGGTGATATGTTGGAGAGGGGAAATGTCTTCTAATGGGTCACTTGAAATGCGTCTTTGAGAGAATGTTTCTGAATGGTGTTTGAGTTACAGCATACGTAATGTTTAGTTGGACCTATGATGAGCAACATACAGGAATGCTCTAAAATACTGCACTCAAAGAACTTATAACGTACTTGTTTAACGAATCACAAGTGAAAAGTCTGATGTCATCCGTGCATTTACCTAGCTGCAATAGATGATGGGCAGTCGGGATTGGTTGCTTGGAATTGGAAAGCCCCTTGGCTGAGAGCTTTTCACTATGACTAGATCTAACACGAACAGTTTCTTCTTATCTGTTCCTGGCATTTTGT